TCAGCTGCACGATGAGGCCGCTTTTGCAAACATGTCGAACCTGGAGCGCATGCGCGTTCGCGCTCAAGCTGCTGCTGAGCTGGCCGCTGTGGACATGATGGATAATCGGGATGAGGAGATGTTCGACTTGTTTTGGCGGCGCCATGGCGTTTTTTGATATTGCAGCTTGTTTGACATATTGATGCGTTGTGGGTTTGTTTTGGCTCTTTAGATGGATCCTTGGGTATATAGCTTGCCTATGACAATAACTCTTTCCCTTGTATGTTACTCCCCGGTGTTGTTTTGTTCCTCCCGTGATACTTCCTTTTACTTCAACACCCACTCTCTTTCCCCCTCCCTCACATCCACGACATCGCGCTTGTTTTTAATCCACTTCGCCTCCCCGTACGGCAGCACAACAGCCAAGACCTTCGCCTTAACCAACGCCAACGGCAGCGGTCCAAATAACCTACTATCCCTACTCCATTCCAGATTATCTCCTTGTACCCAGCAGTGTCCTTCTGGCACTCTTATGACTTCTTCTCTTACGCTCGCCCATTTGCCTTCATGATCCACCGCGTTTACATCATCTTCCCCGCGCCCCGGCGTGACAATACTGACAAAGTCGCCCGGCATCCCAATAATGCGTTTGCACCCGCTCTGTTTGGGAAATATGGGATGATTATAGGTTATGATGTCGCCAACGCGGAGGTTGCGACCGCGACGATGAAGCGACGAGTATAGTATCCATGGGTGGCCCTTATAATGGTGGGGGATCGTAGGCACCATGGAGATTCCACTGGTGGAGGATATGCCGCCAATATAGGACGAGCATACGTGGAGGAAGACAAAGCCTTTTGCGACGGTGAGCGCGCTACCTGTTGGTGTGTTAGCAAATCGATTCGGAGAACAGTGTTGCAAGTACTTGCGGCCTAGGGTTTGGGCAAAGCCGGAGCGGTTGAGGGTGCTCCATGGTGGCGGCATTACAATCGGGTCCTGAGCTTTACTATCGCTCTAGCATCTTTTGTTTGTGATGTCGTGCCCGCGGCGGTCCACAATGCTAGCGCGGTATTATTGTTAGGCCATCAGGGAGGTCAAAGATGCTGACTTGCGGTGGTCTTCTTGCATGGGAAAGAGCTATCGGGTTTTCGGAAGTTCCCGTCGGAGGACTTGGCATCGTATTAGCCGACATGCCTTCATCGTCAGTACGGATTCCGCGTCACAACGGGGATTTTGCGTCGCAATGCCCCAGGCAAAGCCACTGCGTGTCACCAACCGTCTTACGTGTTGCTCTAGCCAGCTCTCGTTAGATGTTCTTCACTTGGCCAAACCTAGCAGAAAGCTCCATTCGGAAATTGTCACGAGATTGGAACGGGCAATTGCTTGCTCGTCGGCTTCGCAAGTATAATGACCGAGTAGTGTTGGTATAACCTTATGTTTCCGAAGTTCGGTAGACTTGGCATGTAGTGCCGGTGGAGTGGTTGTATAACATGCAGTACGAGAAAGCAGAAGGTATAGTGACAAAAGAGCAACTGACTGGAAACATGCTTTCAACATCTCTACTATTTCTGTTCGTATCGAACGCCATTGCTGGTTTCGTTGATCCGCGAGACTATCTGGTCAATCGACAACACCAAGACTTGCAGGACTGCCTCCACGCAAAAGCCGTCCCTACTACTCTCAATTCCTCCTCAGATTGGACTTCTCTCACCACCGCATTCAACCTCCGTCTCCAATACACCCCAGTGGCCGTGACAACACCAGAAACTCCACAACAAGTTTCCGATTCAATAACATGCGCAGCTGCAGCTGGCATCAAAGTTCAGCCCCGATCTGGAGGACATTCGTACGGGAGCTACTCTCTCGGCGGCAAGAATGGTAGCTTGACGATCGATTTACAGAATTTTAACGAGGTATCCCTGGATAAAGGCAGGTAGCTTACTCGTTTCTTCATGATCTTTGCTAACAGATCACAAGGTACTGGTATCGTTCGAGCGGGAGGCGGCGTGCGTCTCGGAAACCTCGGACTGGGTGTATACAAACAAGGTCAGGCCGCACTGCCTCACGGTACATACCCGGGCGTTGGCATCGGAGGGCACTATACGCATGGAGGCTTCGGATACTCTTCTCGTCGCTGGGGTAAGTACCGCTGTTTTGCAAATATTTGTATTGACTCTAACTAACGTGATATTGTTTAGGACTTGCACTTGACACGATCGTGGCAATGGACGTCGTACTGGCCGATGGAACTCAACTTCACGTCACACGCACTACCCATCCCGAACTCTACTACGCTCTGCGTGGAGCTGCAGATAGCATCGGTATCGTGACTACCTTCTACCTGCAGACCCAGCCCGCCCCGTCACAGATCGTCAGCTACTCCGTGAACTTCACTTCCGTGCTGAAGTCTTCATCTTCCGTCGCCGACGTCCTTCTCCAGTTGCAGAAGTTTGCCCAATCTTCTCCTCTCATGGACCGTAACATCACTCTTGAGATCTACATGAACATATTTGGCACCTTCGAAGTCCGAGGCTGGTACTTTGGCGACCGCACACATTTCTCCAGCGCCGTACTTCCCGCCATGCTTGAGGGTTTGCCCAAAGCTGACAACACAACGATCGCGACCAGAAACTGGCTCGATGCGCTGCAGGATATCGCAGAAGGCGAACCTCTCGTTGAGCCTTTGACTGGCTACAACAACCACCAGACCTTCTACACCAAGTCCATTGTTACGCGAGAGGCAAAGCCACTTACACGGCGCGCACTGGAGAGCTTTGCTGAGTATGTCATTGGCAAGGGATTGAGCGCAGGGTCCCCGTGGGAGACGTATATCTCGCTGTATGGCGGGAGGGATAGCCAGATTAATGTTCCATCGCCTGATAGTGCGGCATATTCGCATCGCGATTCGCTTTGGGTCTTTCAGGTAAACTTCTCTCCTCTCCCCTTCTGACTACACTTATCAGGCAGTATCCCCTAAGCAGCTAGCTAATCCCGTTCTTGATAGAATATCGGTTCCTCGGCCAATATGCTTCCGCCTTTTGAGCCTGGCATCAAAGCGTTCGTGCAAGGACTCAATACCGCCTTGACAGACGCACAGCCCGATGGCGACTTTTTGGCGTACCCGAATTACCTGGATCCAGAGCTGACACCAGCGGAGGCGCATCGATTGTACTATGGTGCTGCGACTTATGGAAAGCTAAATGCGATTAAGGAAGCGGTAGATCCAAACAAGGTGTTTTGGAATCCACAGGCGATTGGGAACTAAGTACCTCTTCTCTAAGTTTTTAAGTGCCTCAACTCGGCCACAATGTCAACCGCAGTGCGAAATAATTATCCTATTCTTTATCGTATAATTTTGCAGTACGTAGATTATATTCGAAAAGCGCGCACTTTATGCAAAACACCTTGATCTGAGTACAAAACCAAAGCTAGTCCCAAAAGAGCAAGGTCCGTTGCCAGTAAGACCTTAACCCCGATAACGCATCCCACTTCACGAACTTTGCGCGACTTAATGTGAACGCGCAAACATGGGTCAGACTGGAGATGAAGTGATGGGACTGAAAAGCCCAGAGCAGGCTGCTTTGCGGTGAGTGTGTCATGGATGAGATCATTGTGTTCTCTCCCACTGATCATGTGCGAAGGCCTGCACCAACTGGTCTCGATGCGGAAGGGACATTGCAAGATGCTGTAAGAGGTGCTTCCTTTTCCTCTTCATACTATCAACCCCATATCGTTCTATTGTCTGAGTGGTCAAAAGCACGATGCAAATCGCGCGGCTAGTTCCTCTGGCGATTTCTCAATCTCATACCATGTGCCCCAGATGTCGTAATGAACATGGAGCACTTCGATGTATCTTACGATCTTGCATCGCCACTAATACTAATCTCAATCAGACCTGATAACATCTTACCACGACCTCAACTCCTCAACAATCGACATCCTCACCACTGAACCCTCACCCCTACAATTTATGCGCCACGTCGCCCGCAACCGCCCCTTCATCGTCCGCAACGGAGCCAAAGACTTCAAAGCCAGAAGAACATGGAATACCTCGTACCTGAGAACTGTCATGCAAGGTCAAAACGTCAACGTAGCAATCACCCCGCACGGAAACGCCGACTCAGTCGTCTCCCTCCCGTCAGATGGCGCGATATTCGTAAAACCGTATGAGACCGAAGAGCCCTTTGAAGACGTCCTCAACAAGATCCAACGCCAAGAGCAAGAAGAAGACTACAGCGGTCCAACACGCTACGCGCAAACCCAAAACGACAATCTACGTAACGAGTACTCCACGCTCTTCGCCGACGTACCCAAGAGCATCCCCTTCGCGCGCATAGCTCTCGAGCAAGAACCCGACGCCATCAACTTCTGGCTTGGGAACTCGTATTCCACGACTGCTCTGCACAAAGACAACTACGAGAACATCTACGTGCAGATACTGGGGCGGAAGCATTTCGTTCTCTTGCCGCCTGTAGAAGCGGGTTGTGTTAATGAGAAGAGCGTCTTAGCTGCGACTTACACTCCGAAACGGGAGGATGGTGCGTCGTCTAGTGCGCTAGAGAAGGGTGATCTGGTTATCAAGGTCGATGAGCCAGAAGAATATGTTCCTTTCGCGACATGGGATCCGGATCAGCCTACCACGAACACTACACCTTACTCCCAGTACTCGCAGCCACTCCGAGTCACGCTAGAAGAAGGCGATATGCTTTACCTACCCGCACTATGGTACCACAAAGTGAGCCAGAGCTGCAACGAAGAAGGGATCTGTTGCGCAGTAAACTACTGGTACGATCTCGACTTCAGCGGCGCGTTTTGGAGTACTGCGAATTTCGTTCGGAGCGCTGGGCTACTGAGCATGGGAGACAAAACTGCAGTACAGGGACAAGACGAGACACGATCATAGTGTGTATATCAACAAAAGAAACAAACTGTACTACGATTAGGGGTATCTCTAGGATCTACAGTGACAATCAAGTCCAACGCCATGCCGATGCTTCTCTAATTCTCATCTCCGTCTACTGTCAATGCTTGATTTTGACTTTAATGCCCACGCCCCTGGCGCTCTGCCATACACTGTCGCTAACTTTGACGGGCAACTTCCGTCCTTTGAGTCTCTGGTCTATCAACCATAAACCCACGACGAACTCGTATCTGCTCAACCTTCCCACCCCTCTATTGTCTACGAGGTCCCAAACTTCCTCCAATACGTGTGTGGGCAGTCGACTTCTCGTCCATATCTCTTTGACGAGAAGATTCAATACGTCGGCTGATGGGTCATCGTCGGGTGGTGCGTTATCCGGTGAGGGTATGTGACGACCCTTGTTGGCAGCCCATACACCTTCATAACGTTTCCGTTCCCGTTCGGTTATCTGGTCGCGCCATCGCTTTCGTGTCCCTTCGTGATGCTTGTTCGGGTGTTTCCGCCCCTTGATGCCCATAATGCGTGTGCCCTTTTTCTTGTACTTGTCGACCTTGTTGTCTTCCTCATCGGAGGATGACGGTTCTTTGCGCATTGTAGTTCGCAGCTTGCCGGCGCTCTTCGGAGGGGATTGTTTAGGCGGCGAGGGCGATCGGTGGAAGGGCGAGTGGTGATGATGCTGTTTGCGCGGCGGGAAAAGAGGCTCGACTGACATAGGCCGAGGGGCGGGCGAGACGTTGCGAGAATGGGAGGCTAGGGCGGCGCCCATTATGGCGCTCGACAGAGACTCGCCGGTCATGTGCTGGGTAATCTGCTTGACAGATTCTCGCTGGTAGTTGTTATGGTACACTGAAGGCGACCCAGTTCTGTTGGCTGACATTGGTCGACGCGGAGGCGATAGCTTCTGTAGTGGAGCCATCGAGGCTGGGTTCTGGCTCTGGGTGCGAGGCTTGATCTGTATCGGGGCTGAAGGTTGGAGTTTGTTCGCAGCTGGCGCAGGTTCAGTCTTCCGCGCGGTCGATCGTCGCGGTGCAGGCAGAGCAGGTCTAGGCTTCTCGTCCTCCTCCTGGTCTTCTTTGGCTGACTTGAAAGACGTGGGTGTCGACGGTGACTGATAGCTTTCTACAGACGCAGACACTCTGCGGCGCTGTAAGGACGATGACTGCGTTGTGTCCTCCGACTTGGGCCGTGTTTGCCGCGAACCTCTCCGCTTCGGCTTTGAAGGTGGGGACGTGGATGTGTTGATTGCTGCCAACTGCACCGGCTTCTGTTTGATTGGGGGAGACTTGAGAGGGTCCTTCTTGGGTGTATTGAAGTATGCCTGATCGCTGCTGCCATCAGCATATTGTGGGGGCAGCTGGATCTTGTGCTTCGGTTTCGGCTTGACGGGCGGCGGTGTCTGCGTTCTGACTCTCTGTAGGGGTGCATCATCTTTCGGCTCGGGAGGCAGTTTGAACGCACGTTGTGGCTTGGGCGATTTCACGGGGGGTGGTGAATTCTGCGCAACGCGTATCGGTGCGGAAGGCTGCTTCGTGGGTGTGCTGGGTCGCGCCTGCTCAAACATCTTCACGAGCGAGTTCGTTGGCGGTATGGACGTCTCGTCAGTGGCCTTGTGTTGAGGCTCTGGTCGTCGGGCATTGCGCGCAGCTGCAGGTGACTCCAGGCTGTCTCTCCTCTTCCGCGACTGTTGTGTGGGCTTCTGAGACTCGAGTCTCGCAAGCACATTCCCTACGCTGCCCGAGGGAGGCAGTGCATCCCGCTCGTTTGGCTGCTGTTCGCTCATGGCGGGCGGAACAACGGCCTTGGCCTGGGGTATAGGCCTCAGAGGGCTGTGTCGAGCTGCCGCAAGCCGTGCCGCGATATTCGAAGGCGACGAGACGCGGTCGGGGTGATCGTCAGGCACGCCCAGCGACGTCGTGCTGTTCGAATGGGATAGGTTCGGCTTGCTGACGCCTACGGAACCACCGGTATGGTCCCTCCGCAAGGATGCCGGATTGCCTGTGCCGACTTTGGTTGCAGCGAGCAAAGCCCCATTGTCTCCTCCCGTATATGTGTTTACCAAAGACTTCGGTTTCGCGGGAGGTTTGGAGAAGGCTCGAGCGGCACCTTGTAGCGCAGCATCTCGTACGTTGTGTTGGGTATCGCCGGTCGACTGCGGGACCCAGCCCTGCTTACGTGCAGCGCTCATTTACGGTCCATTGGATGGTGAGTAATAATGACGTATACGGACAATTAGGGGACGGTAGTGCGGTTGGAAAAGGTGTTTTGGCGCGACATGAAAGCAAAGAAACGAAGGACTAAAGGGAAAACGAGTGTTGTGGAGTCGCAATTCCCCCAGTTTCCAAGATTAGTATCGTCAGCCTTGTGAATCACGGCGTAGGTACCCACTGGCATGGGTGATGCCTTGGGACATGCGCTAGCTCGTTGCAGCCTGACAGACACGTGATCACGCGTATCGCGGCTTCTAGGCAACCACGACTCTGCCTCCGTATACAAACAACCGCTACACCCAGCATCTCACTCCTCCAATGCACTCAAAATGGCCGAAGACATACCAATGCCGGATGCGGAGGCGGTTAGAGAGAACACGCTCATGTACGGTCATGACGACGAGCTCGACGACAAGTACCCTACCCGGCCGCTGAACCTCCACAAGACGCCCCGGTTCCATACCTTATTCACGGACCTATTCAACCCACTCATGGAAACACAGAAGAGGAAGCAGCCAGCGGGAGCCCGTCGAAGAGTTGGACCTCATGGACACTCCAACCTATCACCACATGAAGCGAAACGCAACATAATCGAAAGATATATTGCAAATTGGCGAAAGGGAGTTGGTAACGACTTCTACCCCGCAATGCGTTTAATGATCCCCGAAAAAGACAGAGATCGAGCCATGTACGGTCTGAAAGAGAAAGCAATTGCCAAGATTTTGATCAAGTGCACCAGCATGAAGCCCAAATCTATTGATGCCGACCACATAACGGAATGGAAGCTACCTAGTGAGCTCAGCTCAGCTTCTAATGCATCTGCGGGCGACTTTCCTGGACGATGCTACGATGTCTTGTCAATGCGGCAGATGAAGACCGAGTACAGCGACATGAGCATCGCCGAAGTCAACAATGCTCTGGATAAGCTGTCACAGGTTGGTGCCGAAGAGGAGCAAGTCAAGATTTTCAAGCGGTTTTACCGAAGGATGAATGCGGAGGAGATGACCTGGCTTATCCGTATTATCCTCCGTCAGATGAAGATCGGCGCTACTGAGAAGACACTCCTCGACATCTGGCATCCGGACGCGGAGACACTCTTCAATATTTCGTCAAACCTGCGGCGAGTGTGCTGGGAGCTCTTCGACCCGGAGATTCGTTTGAAGGGCGAGAGCACTGAGCTGAGCTTGATGCAATGCTTCCAGCCACAACTAGCTCAGTTTCAGGACAAAGTAGGCAACTTTGAGAAACTGGTGAACCGTTTCCAAGCAAATGCGGACGATGACACGTTTTGGATTGAAGAGAAACTCGACGGGGAGCGCATGCAGCTCCACATGATTGAAGATCCAGACGCACCTGGTGGGAGGACTTTTGGATTCTGGTCACGTAAAGCCAAAGACTACGCATACCTCTACGGCAGACACTTCGAAGGCGACGAGGCCGGTGCACTGACACGTTTCATCAAAGACGCCTTCGGAAAGAACGTACGGAACATTATCCTTGATGGGGAGATGATCACCTGGGATATGGATAGGGACCACATCGTGAGCTTCGGTACACTCAAGACCGCAGCTATATCTGAGAAAGAGAACAAAACCGACAAGGATACTGGTCAGCGGCCACTGTTTAGGGTGTTCGATTGCGTCTATCTGAACGACAAATCACTCACACAGTACACGCTACGCGATCGACGTCGCGCCCTTGAGAGTGCCGTCAAGGGCATAAAACGTCGTCTGGAGATCCATCCTTACATCGAAGCGCGCTCGCATACCGAGATTGAACCGGAGTTACGGAAGGTCGTTGCAGAGTCATCCGAGGGTCTGGTGCTAAAGAATCCGCGCTCCATGTACTGTCTCAATCAACGGAACAACGACTGGATGAAAGTGAAGCCAGAATACATGTCAGAGTACGGCGAGTCGCTCGACTGCATTGTTGTCGGCGGATACTTTGGCACTGGGCATCGCGGTGGCGCCCACTCATCCTTCCTCTGTGCATTGCTGGAGAAGGACACGATAGTGGCGAAGAACCCACTGTGTAAATCCTTTTTCAAGGTCGGTGGCGGATTCACCCAGGAAGAGTACGCTGAAATAAGGAGTCGCACGGAAGGTAAGTGGCATAAATGGGAAACCCGAAAACCGCCTCCGTTCATCGAGCTGGGCGGTCACGACTGGAAGCAACACGAGCGGCCAGATCAATATATCCGCCCCTGCGATTCCGTCGTCCTGGGGTGCAAAGCAGCAAGTGTCGAGAATAGTGACAAATTCCGCATGGGATACACGCTTCGCTTTCCCCGCTTCCAAAAACTCAAGAAAGATAAGCGATGGGATCAGGCGCTCTCAACACAAGAGTGGCTCGAAGTAAAGAGCCGAGCAGAGACAGAGGTGAATGAGAAGGAAAAAGAGTTCAAGATCGAGCAATCACGAAGGAAGAAAGTCAGGACAACAAAGAAGCCACTGACTGTCGTCGGCAACGATACCGTCACAACACCATACGCAGGCCCAGCATCCAAAGTCTTCGAAGGCCTCAGCTTCTTCATAATGACAGAGCAAATATCCCCAACAAAAAAGTCAAAAGCAGACCTGGAAGCCCTAGTCAAAGCCAACGGCGGCAAAATCGTACAGCGCGACTCCATGGATAAGAACCTCATCATCGTTGCAGACAAGCGACTAATTAAGGTGGCCTCGCTGGAGAAACGCGCAACGAATAACATCGTCAAGCCCGTCTGGATCCAAGATTGTATCAGGCAGAACGAGTTAGACGCTACTCCCATGCCATACCTGCTTCCGTTTGAACCGAACAGGCACATGTTTTATCTTCATGACGACGATCAACTGGACTATGAGAAGAACGTTGATGAGCATGGGGATTCGTATGCGCGCGATGTAGCGGATGTGGATGAGATGAGGAAGTTGTTGGAGGGTGTGTCGGTGCCAGAGGATGATGAGGCGTTTGAACGAGAGGGGTTTCTGAATCAACTGGACGATCACGGAGAGTCGCTCACGCATCTCAAAACACACATGTTTGGTACGGTGAAAGCTGCCGTTCGGAACGATGAGGGACGACCAGATGGTATGCTGAGAGTACAGCTAGCGAGGAACTACATCCAATTCGGGGGCGGCGTGGTAACTGACGACATAAATGCGGAAGGTGTCACACATTTTGTCGTGCTGGATGAGCAATCTCCGACGAGGGACGCAAATAACAAAATCACAGGACTTGCCAGAATCGTTGGCGTCGCCTGGGTTGAAAAGTGCTGGAAAGAGAGCACCATGGTTGACGAGGAGAGATACCAGTGGGGCTGAGCAGCCCCGCAGATGGAGGATTGGTTAGTCACATTTCTTATGATACCACAAAGCGTTCATAGCAATTCCATTATGTTCGTTTCTCAAAACGAGCTCCCACTCGTAAGACCCCGCTTCCAACCTCTCTTCATCACCTCCCCAGTACTCGTCCTCGTCACCCTAAGCTCTCTCTTCTCGACAACCAGCGCCCCCTTGCTCTCCGTCAACCGTTTCCTCAACTCATCCTCCTCTAGGTAATTCGTCTCATTACCCAACTCCTCCCGTATCGCAGCAGAGTAATCCATAATGCTGCGCAAAAGCCCCGGTCTCCTTCCACTCCTGTACATCATAGACCCGCGTCGTGTATCGAGCCACATACCGACCATGATGCAGACCCAGACGAAGTTGAATATCGATACCATGAAGAGGAAGATATACGAAAAACCCCATTGGTACGTTTCGCTGGGCTTGCAAGATCCGTGGTCCAGCAGGTAGTACCCAGTGTAGGAGTGATTCGCATCTGGCCGTTTCTCAAAGGCGTACTGAGCGTACAGAAGTTGAGTGGATTCGCTGAGCTTTTCGCGGGAGCTGTATTCAAAATATTCTGTATCGAAGATTGCGATTCCAAGGCTACGGAACGTAGATGTCGTCCTGCCGTCAAACACCCAATCTGCTGTGATGTTGCCGTTCATCGTTCCATTGGTTATGTTGGAGCCCCTGCCGTAAATATAGTCGATCGAAAGTACTTTAGCGTCTGAGCTTTGTATCTCGGTAACAGTGGAGCTCCAATCGTCGAACTGCCCCGTGTCTTCATTGTGTTAGATGAGAGTCAAGGCCATTTCTAGCGTACGTACAATGGTGGACGGCGTCGATGAGCGGCTGATCATCCGCTGTAACGATAAGCGGTGCTTCCAAACCCACCCTATCCGCGTCCTCGATCATGTAAATCACTCGCTTGAGCCTGCCCCATTCCATGAGATTGCCATCAAAGTCCTCGACATAGGGCTGGTAGGTAGTGATATAACCCGTCATGGCTGCCATCAACGTTGGGAACGCGATTACATAGAGGGTTGAAAGCAGCATCGAAAAAAGTGCGAGCCAACGGAACAAGCGCTTCCAGGTGCACGCTCCATAAGCCAGGAACTCTTTTCCTAGTACACCGAGGGTGGCCACGGTTGTTGTCTCGAAGGCTACAGCAGCGTATAATTTGTAGGAAGTGTGATGCATCTCCATGTGATATACGAGCCATTCATTGAAGACGCGGTAATTCACCCATGCCAACAAGAGTTGTCCGCCTCTTCCAATGATCAGGTCCCATGCGACATCGATGACCTTTACCTGCGTAAAAGTGAGAGCACCAAAGCTCAAGTTCGGTGTAAAGAAGTAGGAGGAATCCATGATGCGCCATGTTGCTCCGGTGGCTTCTTTCCAAAGGCCGTTCGGGTAACAGTCTCGTCCCATGATGTAGCCCTGCGATACCGTTTCCGCCGCAGCAGCGAGGCCGACAATGCAGGCGAGCGCAAGAGGGAGTGCCAATAAGATGATGGTTACTCGCCATGGGAAGGGTGACCATTTCTCCCAGAATGTCGTTCTGCGATCTTTTTCAGGCCATTGGTGAGGCGAATCGGACTTGGCGTCGCTGTGGTTGTCGGCCATGGTGAGCAGGTCAGCGCTCCTCCGTGCATCGTCATCAACGTCCTGGCGAACGGCAGAGAATTGCGTCGTAGATTTCATTTCTGAAGCGAAGTGGTACACGATGCATACCAAGGAAATAAATCACGAGCGGACGTGGCGGCGTCAGCCTTATCTGAGGCGACTTGTAGATCGGGCGTATTTTCAGGCGTCCTGCTAGTCCGGGGATTTGCGCAAGGCGCAGCGCCCGCATTTGGGGGCCAAATACCTACCAACGAAATTAACTTTTCTTTCCGTAAGGGCTGAGTAACTGGCGGCATGTCTCAGTTAGTTGCAGTAAGTCAATGAGATGGGTGCGTCATAGAGCTTGTTGATGAAATCGCAGCGCCGACGACCAAGGCAGCTGCAACGGTGCGATCATCTTGGAGAGCGAGCATGCTGGGCGGCTGGGTTGTCCGAATGTGTTCGCACGCATGTACAGAGACTGTTTCCTGTCGATTCTGTCTCAAAAGTTGAGCATAGGCATGTGGGCTCATATGCGAGTGCCGTGGTAGAGTACTTGTAAAGTCTCCTGGCACGCCCGCCAACCTGGCCCCAGGGAGGGAAGACCCTCACGCCAAGGCACTAACAGCACAGTACCCACCGGTGGACCAGAGAGACGTGAAAGTCATCAACCTGCAAGTAACCTCCATCATTCTACTATATAACATAAAAATATCCCTCTGAGCGATAGGCGGTCTCACCCCGGATGCGCAATGAAGTATATATTGAGTTCTCGCCGGCACATAGCTAGGTTGGGTATAGCGCCGCGCACCCCGCTCCCCAGCAGGGCAGGTACTGAGCAAGGAGGTACAAAGGCTGATAGCACTTTATATTGTCTCTGGCAAGATGATTCGCTCGTAACACAACCGTCACGCGACAGCCGTCGAACATAATACAATGCCGCGGAGGCAGACTTGCGTTTATCTGTCCCTGCGACAGCAACCTTATACATCCAACCCCCCCTACTGTTGTCGCGTTGCACAAACCAGCCACATGAGAAGCTAACATGGCAAACGTCTGGACAACCCGTACAGTGCTCCTGACAGGCCTCGTCATATCCCTCCTCGGCGCCTTCTACATCTACCAGTCCCCCACGCCGCTCAACTTCAGCATGCCGCATCCAAGTTCTAGCGCAACTAGCATACCCGGATTAGAGTTTACAATGAGCCAAACATCTCGATCTCCGCCCACTCTACTCGTCACGCTCAAGAATTCAAGTCCAGATACCCCTTATACGATCTTGAAATGGAATACACCGCTTGACGCTTCAGCACTCAGCACTGGCGTTTTCACGGTTACTGAGTCGGAAAGTGGGGAGGAGGTGAAGCAGACTGTTTTGCAGGTTAATCGCAAGATGCCGCCACCGCAAGGGTCACTTATTACGATTGCGCCTGGGACGGGGGAAGAAGTTGAGGTCGTGTTTGATAAGCCGTGGATGCCTGAGCTTAAGCCGGCGAAGTACAAGGTTCAAGCAAAGGGAATATGGAAGGGCGTTTGGGGGAAGTATGGGGATGAAGTCACGAAGGAAGAGTTGCATGCTTACGCTGACAGCCCGTTCAGTGGATGGAGGTTTGCGACGGGTGAAGTGGTCATGGAAGTGGAGTGAAGAGATCAAGATGACGAAGCGGATAAGGTGACAAAACACTTTACAGTGTTTGATGCTTCTGTAATGACAGATCCTTGTTCGTTGTTCGTCGACTAGCAGCCTGCTGATAGCCTGACTGCGCAGCAGCGGTTATATACATTCTTTCTCCTCTGTCGCATCGCCCCTTCGCTTCAGCTTCATGGTTTCCATACTGCCACAGTCCAGCCCAGCCGAACCATCACAGGATCTTGCATTGTAGCAATGTCTGCCACAGATACTGCTCAACGTCAGTACCCCATCGCCATCGTATTTTCGAGTTCACATACCTTGCTTGGTTTGCCCATGCGTTCTCTTATCGAGATTCGTGACTTGTTTGACGATGTTGATGAGAAGGCCGATGAGCCGAAGGTTGATGAACCGTGAGATGATGTGCGTTCCATCTTGTGTAGCGACTAAGTATGCGCGTGTGTATATGTTCGTGTGTGTTTGAAACGGTCAAGAAAAGGAAAGACGACTCGATATGTCCAGCAGTAAAGAAAGTGGTACAAGAAGGAATGACTTGATGATACTTCCTCAACCTGGCAGCGTAAACCCAAAATATATACTCAAGTACCTACCCAAACCTTCAGCCCAACTCGCCATCAAGTTTGGTTGATCGCCTCTCCCAGACCATGCCGATCCTCACCTATCGTGTCGCGATACCAATCTACAACCCACCAGCACCAAAATTTCTCTAAACTCTAAACTCTATTCCAACACCCGGATCAATAAGCCACCCAATAGCGACCGCGATACCCATCCAACGCGCCAACGGCATCACCCGCTAGAAACCGTATTTCCGCCTTTCCGCCTCCACGCGAACGAAAAAGCAAAGAGGGACATGCAGATGGGGCCAGGGCCAGCACGTCTAGCTGAGCAATTCTGAAACGCGGAGCATGCGCGCCAACGGCCTACCCCGTCTGTAGTTCGGATTCGGTGCGAGGACCACAACGCGGTTTAGCTTGCGTACATTTGGAGCATGCGAGAGTGGGGATATGCAGGTATGTCTGAATGGAGAAATAGCTGGTGAGGAATAGTGGGGATGGAAATGTCCGCGGAGGGCGGAAGTTAATCATCAGGATCTTTGGTGATGCGTTGGGTTGTTGCGCGATGCGCGAGGTTTGCGACGACTCGTGCAGATGACCCACCGGCATAATTCTTGGTCGGGGAAAACTTCGCACTTTGGGTGAGCATGTTCGTGTTATTGAAGAAAAGAGCGCGCCTTAAACTCAGACTTGGGTTTGATCTTGGTTTGCCCTGATCATTGGAAATGTACTGAGATCTGGTATGCAGGAAAGTTGCGATAGCTTCGAGTAAAGACAAAAACGTTCCAGCACGTCCATCGCACACAGGTCAAGAAAGTGAGGCTACAGTACCCTCACGCAACCCCATCGATTGCCATCTCAATTCCCATCAAGCCCATAAGCTTGCAATACGCGTTTCGCGACGCCCTCCCCACTCCAATACGCCCCCGTCACCGTCCCCAATGCAACAAACGGCGCGCAATGCTCTCCCGCCAACCAAACACCGCGTTCCGGCACGCCTCTTCGTAACGTCTCCACATCTTCGTCACCCTTCTCAAGCCCGACCTGGAAATTGCAGTAGGAGCCGTACCCGGCGAGTTCGTCATTTGCCCAGGCTGTTGCTAGGATGGCTGTAGGGGTGCAGGAGGGGTCTTTGGGATTGTAGTTGGGGAGTTTGGTGTAGTAGGGTGCGAAGAAGGAGTCTAGGAGGGTGTTATGCTTTGATTGGGGATTAGAGGCGAGCAGTTGCGCAATGTGCAGGCTGGTTGGACCAAAGATGTAGAAGAGGAGGGTTGGGTGTGCTGAGCCTTCTGGTAAGGCGGCCAGGTTGACGGCTTCTTGGTCCCAGAATTCGGGGTTTGTTTCAGATGCATAGGTTGGATGTGTCCAGTGTGTGAAGCCTGGGTAATGAGCTGGGTTGACTGGTGAGTCTGTCGCTTGGTGGATGGGCGCCGTCGTTGCTGTTACGTTTGGTTTGTTGAGATCGCGGGACGCGGATGGCGAAGTTGAGTCATTGGTGATGGGCTCATTCCAGAAGGCTTTTGGGAAGCTGATGTACACCTTGTCTAGATGCCCGTACCCTAGACTTCCAACAGCCTCTGTCAGTCGTTTCGGTAATTCTGGAACGAAAGCCCCGAGATTACGCTTTAACCAGCCCAGTGGAGCTGTCATGATGACCTCGTCAAAGGTCATGCTTTGTCGACCTTCAACTTCGACGGTGACGCGTGCATTTTCGGTCTTATCTCCGGACATGATCCGCTGCACTTTATGCTCGAACAGCATCGTCGCGTCCTTCAGTGCCGGCTCCGCGATCTTTTTCAATACCTTGTCGTACGTGGATGCGACAAAGAGGTTCTCGCCGTCGATACATTCTTCAAGCCAGAAGAACTTCAGGCTCTGTCTCTGAACGGGCGAGCCGACGAAAGCGCCCCACATCTCTGCCATTTGGAGTATTGTTTGCTGCTGCTTTTTTGCTTCATCGCTTTTACTGGGAAACATCTCTACGACCTGCTCTTGGAAGTAGTCAAACAAGCTTTTGTCCACTGAAATCGTAGCTGAGGTCTCGTTTGACAACTTCATAGCTCGTTCAATGATGGTCCAGACGCGTTCGGTGTTCTTTGCCGCGTCTTTGTCCGACATGTGGTTCCCTTGGCTGTCGAAGACTGATTGACGGCCATCCCAGTTCATGGTAGTGGTTTTGGTTTCTTTGGCCAAATCCAGTATAGGGTTATCATCGGTGCCATGTATCCAATTCGGGCCACTGCCAGCGCGGTAAGTTTGTAGAAGCTACATTGGAAGTCGCGAACTTACAGGTCAACCCTGTGACCCAGCTCATCGCTTTGACATAACTGACAGCTCATTAGCGTTTGTCAAAATGTACATAGCTGGTGAGACATACTCTCCCGCCAACCCTGTTCCTCCCTTCTAGTATTGTCACTTTAGCGCCCTGCTTCAGCAGCAAATCCGCACATCTCAACCCAGCGACACCAGCGCCGACAACGCAAACATGCGGTATCTTGCCTGCCGCTCTCCGCATCATATTCGCCTCATCCATGTAGCCGTGATTATGTGGCGAAGTAGACAGGTCCTTTGATATTCGAGTCTGCCTCTCGGGCGTCGTTCTATCAGTGGCGATGTCAGCCCTGCGAACTGCGTTCTCGTTGCCAATGTTTCCCATTTTGATAATGTGCGAGCAAAAGTGATAAGACGATTGTATGGGAAAGGATGAACGGGACCAAGAATGAAGCAATCTAGCGTAGCCAAGTTTATGTTGGCAAGCAAGGCTGCCAGATCAGTTCCAGCGATACGCTGATCCGAAAATGAAAGTACGCCGTGGTTGCCACGCTAGTGGCAATGCGTAAACCGCGCCGCAGAGCAAATCATGCTGACTGCAAACGAATAGGATTGAGGAGACGACAGGAAATAATGCTGGAAGAGAGGCTTTTGTTGGCGAGAAGGCTGCCCAGGTGCTATACAAGCGGTAGTCTAGGTGGCACGGTACCTCAAGCGCGTATAGCCGTTCACGTACCTTGGAATTTGTCTAGCCTGGAAGAGGAAGCGGTTCGTCGAGCTTTGGTCTTGTGACAACTGCGAACCAATGTATTGTCTCAGTAATGCCAACGTGATGCTATTATGTTGGAAGTGAGGCGTGATAAGATGGATGTTGTACGCTGTCAGGCGTATGCACGTCAGATCGCGAACGGCAGGCGCGACGCTAACCTTAGTTAGTGCCACGAGGCCGAACCAGGCACATGATTGGACGAAAGAGAAGATAAACTTGAGCGCAACGCTGTAAATTTCTATCTGAAGAGTACACAACGAGTTTTGTCCTCGTACGTGGTGGCATATTATTGCCGTGGTATCATATCTCATCCATCATCCATTAAGATCGTCCATTCCCCCACCTTGCATCTATTTGTCCTTAGAGCCGATGTGAAGCTTGTTCTTCATCTTCTCCTTCAAGTGCGACATCTTTCCACCCTTCTCCTCGCCGCTTGGGGATGTAGTCAAATCGGCAGACTCGGACTTGCGACCTGAGTGCTCTCCAGTCAAACCTGCGGCACCGTCAGTACTACCCCGACTTTGTCCGGGTTCCCGTGTCCACAAACCAGAGGCAGCATTCTGTTTGGCAGCAGCGGCTTCGAAGTTGCTGCTGTCAGAAGGAACGCCTGTTGATGTCCACTCTGGAGTGTCGCGGTTCGCAGAGGCCTTCTCGGCATCAGTCTTAGTGTCGGTACCAGCGCCACCCGCGTATGTGCTTGAAGCACCGGTTACAGAGTCGGGAGCAGTGGTCTTGATGGCGGGATCAGGGCTGGTAGTTGTGGTTGCCGTGGAACCAGGAGCCGCAGGAGTAACATCGCTGGGACCAGTAGGACCAGCACCTGGCGCACCTGAACGGCTGATGTCGTCAAGTGGGGTGTCCTTCCAAAGCTTATCCGTTACTCCAGCCTTGTCCGTGATGCCAGTGGCCTGGGTTGTAGAAGAGGTAGCGCCAGTGTTTGACGTCGCAGCGTCGGGGTTGAGGGGGACGATGGGCATGCCAACGTAGGACGGGTCCTTGCTATCCGAGTAGATCTTGGGGTCGGTCGATGTTTCGGTCATGGTCTCGGTCGGTCCCTTGGTGGTAGGGTCGAGCTTCAGGAACTCATCTGTGCCAGAGGTCTTCTCGGTCGCCTTGGCTGTGCGATACATCAGTATGCTGTTCTACTATCCGTCATTGTCGTATACTTACCATCGTTGCCTTGGTCAAAGGGCTCTGTTACAGTCCCCTTACCGAGCTCTCCAGAAACTGGCTCTTTGCCCGCAGTCTCGTTGTTCGAGTAGTCGAGGAAAGTTCCCTTATCAGCCGTCGCTAGAGGGGTCGCTATGAAGCGGGGTCAGCATGGGTCGTCCAATGCGCGAATTCGTGAGGGCTCACCAAGATTGCCCTGGTCGTAGGGCTGAGTGACAGTGCCCTGACCCTGCTCACCGGAGATAGGCTCCTTGCCGGCAGTCTCGTTGTTCTTGGTCTGGTCGACTGCCTCGTCGGTCTTGGTCTGGTCGCCGTAGATGAGCTTGGAGGCAGCGCCAGCAGCATTGCTTGCGAGGTTGGTGATGGTCTCCATTCTGACTGTGTTTTACAAAGTTCAATTGTAAGAGTAGAGAGGATGAAGTGGGGGAAACTGGGTATCGTGAGTATGCGCGGAGTCAAAGAGTCCGTGTTGGCGCGTTATGAAGGCAGGCACGCGGGCAGTGACGTAGGTTCCTGCCGTGCCTGCGTTTGTCCCTGTTCTACCCAGGATTAAGCCACAGCCAACATCAACACCAACGGGGCAATCTACAGCGAGTGACGATGTGGGGCTCATTTCAAGCGTATACCCTGATTTAACCTCAATCAAGCACGACAATGCCGCCAACATACCAATTAACCTCATACACTACAGCGGCCCGGAGCAGCGTCCAGGCGCTCTCAATGGCTGGCATGTGCGGGTATCTGGACTTAGGTCAAGGCGTACCACCCTAGATCTTGGGCTTCGTAATCGTGATCAGCTTGCTGCCCATGCTGGGAGCTCGAATCTCGGCCGCGCTGGTTGAAAGCGACGCGGCTGGGTTGACGTCATAGCTGACTGCAAACATGTCAAACATGCGTCTTGGCGCGTCTTCGCGTGTGCCGCGATCATGGCCGGCGCCCTGCACATGCGACTCTCTACGCAAGAGTTTCGACGTTCTCACATTGGAGACAAACAATCCAGCACGAATAGACGAACTGCCAGGCGAGATCGCAATTTTGCCCCCAAATGCAGTTCTGCCCTGCTAATCTTCCGTTTCAAATAGACCCCGAATGCCATCCGTCCACTCAATCTCCTCCATATGCTCTGAGCGATCCGCGTCCCACCATCCATCAGACATACCGAATTGCGAGATAGCAACGCATCTGTCGACCTCGCAGGGCCACTGGTCGCACTGCTTGCGCAGGATCTCGTCTATATCCCATAGCTCGTGCATGTCTGCCTCGAAACGCACCGGAACATCGCCGCGCACCACCGCCTTTATAACGTCGACGAAGTCATCGGCTATAGAAGTCATCCCCTGCATGTTTCTCCGGCGTGTCAGTTCTTCAACGCCGTCCTGCCATACCGCAGCTTGGATCATGGCATTGCAGAGAAGCTGATTGGCTTCCTCGGTGGGGCCATGTAAGACCAAGGAGAAAGAACCCGTTGGCAGATCCATAATCCATGGCATGCTTGCTTCGTGTATCCACGCTGCAATATCCTTGAGACAGCGCTTCTCACCGTAGGAACGCTCGCGGCGATTAGGGATAAGCACAGTCCCCCAGATGTCGACGCGTCGCTCTATCTGAAGCCTAGGATTCTCGAGCAAATATGGAACAAGCCCGCGTGCGTGGGTCTGGGAGAGTTCTAAGCTCGTGTGGTTCTGGGAGATTCCTAAGCTCGCGTAATCTTCCTGGATAACAATTTTGCGCACTTGGGCGCGCTTTTGGGGTGTAAGGCGCTCAAGGAATTGAATGGCAGCTGCCGCTGCCGAGAAGTATCTTTTGAATCTCTTGATGCGACCATCACGGCGAGTTCCGAGTTGTGGTGCGGGTGGAACATATTTCGCGACCTTATCAAGGTCTTTTTGCTCCGGAATCCACCAATACGTGGGCTTCCACTCGATAATCTGGTATAGGGTGTCTCTCGTGTATACCGATGGCCGTGAGCGGCTTCCGCTTTGGTCATTGTCATCATCCTCGTCCTCGTCCTCATCCTCGTCTTCCGAAACCGGGTCATAGTCTAATGGAGCACTCGTGTTGGCGGATGGATCGTACTCTCCAAGAACGAGGCGCTCGAATGCTGGATGCCTCGCGATGATCTGAATGAGATCTTGAAGTATAGCATCTTTGACGAGATAATCCAAGCTAGACACATGGTAAAGGCAGCCTTCTTTCAAGGCCGCTCTACCCTCCCTGATAATCGTTTTCTCTAGCTCTTCCACTGCCGTGTTACCTGGATATCTCGATCGCAGCTCCCTCAAGGCTTCTCGTGTGACAAGGGGATATGCATATGACAACATGATCTGGAGGCACATGTTGCGCCCTTCCAGGAGACCGCGGTAGAGAGTGGCTACAGAGCTTGAAGTCTCAGTGCCAGGAATCTGCGGAAGGACGCTGAATCGGAGCGTGTTCGATTCAAACGCCAAACCGTCCATCTCTTGTGCCGCTCTTTTGCAGGTGTAGATCAACGCGATATCGATCTTTTGTCCATTATGTAGCCGAAACTTTTGAGCCGATGGATCGTAGATATAACCTTGCTCTTGATGCGTGTAGTACTCATAGATTTTATCTCGCAGCTCTCGTGGAAGCCGGAAGAGAAGAGACTGATGTTGATTGTTCATGCTGGGTCCGTCACTATGACGAAGAGGGTCTGCGATGTTGGAAGTCTGCATTGCGAGCATGAAGGCAAGCGAACGGTATCGCAAAGGCCTCCTGATAATGTTGAAGCGCTATCGTTCGGGCAGGGTGGAGGTTTTTGTGTGAGGAAACGCGCAAGTTGGTACGTGTCAGACTGATCAAGGGCGCCGCGGAGGATGTAAGGGTGGCGGCGTAGCTTGATTCCGTTGAGCATGCACAGTACGACTCATGTACATAGCAGGTCATTGGCTCGTCGGTTTGATAGCCGAACTTGTGACCCGCGGATTATTGCCAGGTTACCAAATGATCAGTAAAAGTCGTAGCAAAAGTTACAACATTACTGCATTGCTCTGTCTACATAATGGCATGTAGTAATTACAACGGCATGGTCTGCGCGCCGATATAATTCCCTTGCTACTACTACGCTTCTCTGGCCAATCGTCTCCACCCGTTTATTCTATCCATCCATTCGACGTTTTCTTCATACACCTCGCGCGCCGCTTCCCACCCACCATCCGGCTCGTCGAAGTCCTGAAGACGAAACACATCCCCGACATAACGAGGCCAGTCACCATCGTGTTCGCGTAGGATCTTCTCAATATCCCATATCTCGCCCGTGTCCGCACCATCGAAGCTCGCCGGAATTTCCCCTCGCAGCATCTCCTTGATAAGGTCGACAAAGTCTTCGGCTATACCGTCGTCGTTCTGCCAGTCGAACAGTCGCTGCTCTCGCCGAGCTATCTCGACAGCGCCGTCTTGCCATATCGCTGCTCTTACAACAGCGTCACAAAGCTGCTGACTTGCTCCTTTGGAAGGTCCATGCAGGACTAGATTGAAGCACCCGGTTGGCATACCTAACTGGTATACTGCCTTGACCTCGTTGATCCATACTGCGATTGACTCAACTATTGTGCTTGCACAATCGTTGAAATATTCGCTTTTATGCACGAACTCGGTATACCAGACATCGACCCTACGCTCTATACGAAGATCAGGATTCGCAATGCACAACGGTATAAAAGCCTGTGCATGGGCTTTTGATCGAGACACGCTCAGCCGGTCCTCCTGGATAATGATCTTGCGTAATTGCCTGCATATGTTCGGAGAAAGCCTCTCGATAAAGCGAGTAGCTACTGCAGCTGCTGAGAAGTACATGAATGGTACCCAACAGTCGTAAAAAGGCGGCTCTGGAGGCACTTTGGGCCACGGAGGCAGGAACTTCAAAACTCTTTTGAGCTCAGTGCGGTCTGGAATCCACCACGCTTTTGGTTTCCACTGCAAGACAGTCATCTGAGTTTCCTTTGAGTAGCAGGGCGTATCCTCATTGTCGGATTCGTCGGATTCGTCGGAAAAGTAATCCTCATCCTCAGAAGGCAAGTCCTCGTCATCTTCCTGGGGACCCGTCGCCTTTCGTGAATCTATATCGTACTCTCTCGAAGTCAAATAGGAAAACTCCGGATATGTCGCCATGATCTCTACCAAGTCTTGCAGCACAGATTCATCATCGTAAAAGTCTAGGGTCTCCACCGTGGGTAGAAATCCATATCGCAAATTGGTCCTCTTGGTTCTTGAAACCTCTTCCGTTATTCTCTGTACTGCAAGACTCCATGGATATCGTTTCCTCAGCTCTTGCATGACCTCCACCGAGATGAGGCTGTGAGCCCATTGTACCATGTATCTCAATCGACACCCACGGTCGCCGAGAAGAAGCTCGTACATGAATGCGTTCGTGGGATGGCCAGTAATATCTGGCGGACTGAGCATGGTGCGGAAAGTGATGTCGTTCGTTTTGAATGCCACTCCATCCATCTCTTTCGCGATCCTCTTACAAGTGTATCGCAGACTGATTCCAACCGCGTCCCCGTTAGTCGCCCGAAGAGTCTCCGAAGCCGTGCGATGACTGTATCCCTGCTCTTCCCAAACGTAGTGATAATACACCTCGTCGCGTAGTTCTCGAGGAAGACGAAAGAATACCGACTGATGCTGGTCCATGATCGTGGGCTTTTTCGACTGCATCTTGACTTAGGAAAGTTTTTGTATGTCGGAGAAATGTGTCGCGCGAAGCTTTTGATGTTGAGCTGAGAGTGTGTCCCCCATGGTAGCGAAAGGGCGCTGCCAAGGGCGCAAGGGCGATGGCGTACCAGAATTATCTGGAACACAGAAGCGGTACAGCGAATATCAATGCATGTAAGTCTAAGACTCAACAGTACCTCGGTGACTAACCGAATTGTACAAGGAAGATCTGAAAAGAATAAACATAGTTTAGATGGGTGACATACATCGTTATAGAGTGTGATGACTGGAAACGAAGATAAGATATCATAACTTCATCGGCCCGAACGGCTTCCTTGTCACTCATCTTCCCCTTCCATGAGTTTGTTAAGCCATTGCCGACGATGTTGGTGTATTCGGCCCATCCGTCCTCTCTACCTAGTCGGATGCATTCACCTCACTCTGCTCCAGAAGCAGTTCGTATCCCTCCATGTATTCTGCCCAGTCCAGTCGAACAGAGTCTCTGTGTTTCCACGCCCCAAACCGCTCCTCACATGCAGCGCGCCAGCCTTCCGCTGGCTCTTCGAGGTTGCGAATTTCGAAAACATCTTCCAAGTCCTCAGGCCAATCGCCATCTTGATTTCTCAACAGCTGATCGATATCCCAAACCTTCCCCATGTCTGCGTCGAACCGAGCTGAAATCTTCCCTTCCATGACCCCCTT